CATAGAGACAAATGTTTTTGAATTCCATGTCTTCTTTGTATATCTGTGTTATTTTTATTTAATTATGTAACTATGTGTTGTAAGGACAATAAACAGATTTTCTATCTATCTATGCTTTCCCTCTTTTACTTCAGTTATATCGGCGTTGCCCCTTTCCTAGTAATGCTCCAATCACGTTTTTTATTTATTTTTTAAAGTTTCAAACAGCAATTGTGTCATTCATATTATATTTCAGTCTATGAAAGTCATTCAGGTTAAATAATCTATGCCCAAAATAATAATTTTGTCCAAACGCAATTTTTGAACATTAGATTCAATATGAAATAAAATCATATCTACAGAAAAGCTCCTGATGGCCCAGTTGGCTAAGGCGCGAGACTGTAATGGTATATTGTAATCTTGAGATCGGGTGTTCGATTCACCCTCAGGAGAATTTTTGTACGTCCAGTATTAATTGGGGTTTTTTTTTTTTGGTTTTGTTGATCTGTTTTCTTTTTCTTTCCACCCCTACCCTCCACGTATTCACACCGATCCATCATACACATAGCGGCTTTTTAAAGCTCAATTGACACCATCATTTATCCAAAATGACAACACAATTGCCAAGTTACTTACATGATGTGGATGATGTCGACTATACAGTTTTAGAAGAGACACTTTCAAAAATTGCATCTCTTACAGACCAAATGACATCTTCTTTACATACTCTTGGAAGAAGTGCATCAAGAGCAGAGAGAGCAATCAAACCGATAGCAGGCCAGTCTCGAATGATGGCAATTTATGAAAAAAATCTTGCAGATAGTTTGAATGTAGTACATGGCATTCGAGACTATGCTTCAGTAACAGAAGAATGTGAAAGTATTATTGTCAAGGGTCCCGAAGTTGTTGGTATTCCAGCATACGCATCAACGCTTGAACGGCTCAATAATGCTCTCGAAGACTTGCAAAACGCAAATTTACAAACATTTTATAAAGTCATTGAAAAAGCGGAAATGTTAGTAAAGAAGGGTAATGCAAATTTGAAAGATTACTTTCGCAAACTTTTGTCTCAAATGTTTCAGACAATTGATGTCAGCGACTATGTTTCTAAAGACATTCGTTTACCAGTAATCAAAACACAAGAAATGATGACACTACGACAACTATATAACGTTTTTAAAACTCACAGCAAGATAGATCACCGTGAGCCAGATAAGATCTATTTTGAAATTTGCTCGAAATATATAAAGTCTTCTCTTTCAACACTAGAGGGAAAGTCTAGGCCTCCTCAAACACCCCCGACACCATCAATAGATCAAGTTACTGCTACAATGTCGACAAATGCGAACCAAGCTAATTCATCTAACGGGGCTGGAAATGGTCTTCCCAGTTCCGCAGCCAACATCCTAAACATTAGCAAAGCACCACCGTACGAGCGAGGTAGTAATGCTATTGTGAAGTATGCTGATGCGTTGAGTCTTCTTCTTTCAGCAGAGTTTGAGAACTGCACAAGACTTTTTCCAGACAACAAGGGAACTCAAGACTATTACTTTGAGCATATATGTACTAGTTCTCTCTCGGATTTTGTGAATTTGAGCAACAACATTTGCAAACATGTTAGAACTCATTTGGCTACTGATTCTATGCTTGCGTTTGAGGTTATTGAAGCCATAGGCCATCTAATCAACACTGTAAAAATGATCACCAAAATTGTACCTACTGTGTTGAGTACTGCAATGAAGGATGCGCAAGACACTACTCATTTGATCTTTACAGAATTCATCAAATATATTGAATTCAGAGTTCAAAATCTCATTTCACTTCCAAGTGATAATGGAGTGTGTGATGCTACTATTGATGTTATGTCTAGAATGAAACGATTTGCTGATCACAAAAACTCAGCTCTTGTTTCAATATCCACTATGAATTCTGAGGGGTGGTTGAGCAATCCTAAGCCCACCTGGTACACCACTTTTACATCATCGGGAGCTGTTTCCGCAGCTGCTTCAAATCCTGTTGAACTTCTTTCTTCTTATTTTTCAGATGCCATAGATGCGCTTTTTGTTTCCCTGGAGCTGAAGGCTAAATTCTTGCAGAAGAAAACAACTCAAGTAGGATTTTTTTTACTAACAAACTTGACTCTTATTGAACGATATGTCACTAAATCTGATATATACATGATTTTGGGAGCCACAGGATCAGATAGGTTAGAAAGACTTAAGAAGCGTGGATTGAATCTCTTCCTTGTCGGGTATGTAACCTTATTTTTCATCATCAATTTCAGAAAGTTACTAACTTTTTTTTTTTGTTTTTTGATTAGATGGAAAAATGCTGCATCTTTGCTTATGGATGTCACCGTTGTCAAAGGAAGCTCTAGCTCTACCTTTGGAAAATCATCGCTCAGTTCAAAGGATCGCGAGGCTATCAAAGAAAAGTTCAAAAATTTCAATGCAGAATTTGAAACTCTGGTCAAAGCACATAAAAGTTATAATATTACAGACCAATCTCTCCGACAGTTGCTTGCAAAAGAAGTTACTTTTATTTCTCCCCTCTATCACCGATTTTATGATAAACATAGCGGTGGTGATTTTTCAAAACATGTTGATAAGGTGAGTTTTAATTATCGATTTTTTTTTGAGAGTACCTCTAATTGTTTTTCATTTAGTATATCAAATTTGACAAACAGCAGTTTGATCGTATTCTTGAATCTTTGTCATAATAGCTTAAATGGTAATTGTGCTTTTTTGGCTGTTATTATTTTATTTTATATTTAATATACAGTAACTCAGTTAAATGTAAGATTTGGGACTTGTAACTACTGCTCTGAGAGAACGACCTAGACAATGTGATGTGGTCTTAAAAAATGAAGCATTTGGTATTTTTTTTCAACAAGAACCCAGTCCATAACTCTTTTATTTATTTTTTTTTTATTTTTTTTTTCAGTTCAACAATTTATATTTTGCTTATAAACATGAATAAAAGTCGGAATTCGAATATTTGGTATAATATATATCTTTTTACATTCAGCTGTTGCTTGGAATTTTCTTTGTGGAAACTTCTTCGTTTGTACACTAAACCAAAGTTATTGATCGGAATCTGGTTGAAAGTTCCCAGATCACCAAAATGGCTTAGCATTACAGGTTTCATTTTAGGAATGATAATACTAGTACTTTTACTAGACTGGCAGTTTGAAATTTTCTGTGAGCCTTCGATTCCTGGTCTTCCGCGTATTCCTGGTTGGCCTATAGTTGGCAATTTGTTTCAACAAGGACCGAGTGCAGCCATAACTTACTGGAGTTGGAAGTATGATGTTTTTCAGTTGAGGCTTGGAACCAAACGAGTAGTTGTTGCTAATTCTTTTGAATCAATTTACAATCTTTGGCAAGTTAACTGGAAAACTAATATTTCTCGGCCTGTTTTGTATACTTTTCATCAGGTCATGTCAAAATCACAAGGTGTTACCATTGGGACTACACCTTATTCAGAAACCTGGAAAAAGATGAGAAAAGTTGTAGCGGCAAATTTGAGTAATTCATCGATCCAATATTACGCGCCAATCTTGGATAGAAATTCTTCACGATGTATATCAAGTTTGCAAGAATCTATAGGAAAAGATATTGACGTTCATCCTATTTTGAAAACTTTTACTCTTTGCATTGTCAGTATACAAAAAACAAAAAATATAAGCATATTGCTTTCATCAAATATACTAACAATTTCAACAGAGTGTTGAGCTCAACTATGGAATTTCATTTAATCCCAACCATCCTATGTTTGAAGAGATTGTTACGGTTGAAAAAGAAATTAACAGAGCTAGATCGGCTATCCATAATAACCAAGACTATCTTTCTTTTCTAAGATTTTGGCCTTTTAATATACGACAAAATCACAGTGTTGAAGAATTCAGGGTTCGTCGGGACAAATATATGAATCATTTATTACAGCTTTTGAAAAATAATGTAAACAATGGCATTGGAGATTCATGCATTGGAGGAAACATTTTACTAAACAACACAAAAACAAGCTTTGTCATAAGTGAAACAGAATTTCGAACTATCTGTTTGACGATGGTCTCCGCTGGGTTAGACACTATTCCTTCCAACATTGTCTCATGTATCGGCCATTTGGGACACCCAGTATATGGTGCGGAAATTCAGGCTAAGGCATTTGAAGCAATCCAAAAGTTTTATCCTGATGACGACGGATGGGATCGTTGCTTGACTGATACTAAATATGTTCCATATATTTTAATGCTCATTAAAGAAACATTGAGATTCACGACAAGCCAGCCAATAAGTTTACCCCGAGAAACTTATGGTGGTTCTATAATTTACAATCAGACTGTTGTGATTCCTCCTGGAACTATGTTGTTGATGAATACCTTGGCAGGGAATTTTGATTCTAAAAGATACAAGGATCCATTCAAGTTCAACCCCGAACGGTTTAGTCTTGATAGTGAAAAAAAGATGTTTCAAAATTATAACATAGATCATCTTGGATTTGGTGCGGGCTCACGAATATGCGCCGGTTACAAACTAGCAACCAGAGAGTTTTATGTGATGCTAGTGCGACTGATTTTAAAATTTAGGGTGCTGCCACCAAAGGACGATTCTCTACCAATTCTGGAAACTGATGTTCTCAAAAATTTCAGTAAAGTTGACAACATGGTTGTAGAGCCAAATCAATTTTTTGTCTGTTTGGAATCCAGATAAAAATTATAAAAAATTGAGGTGGCTTGTATATCTCGCTTCGAAATCTTTATTTTTACTGTTTGTGGTATCTACTTGTCGTTCAATTCTTCGTTATGTGCCTGTTTCTTTAACCATGAGTTTTATAATTTGATCTCCGGAAGTTCTATCAAGTATTTCTTGGTAAATTGAAACTATGGTTTCGAAAAAAAAAGCAACCTATTTTTTACACATGATTGCATCTTTACTAAAGTGAAAATGTAGAGTGGTGTGAATCATATTTGAATCTAGGTACCTGCAATTGATGCTTCTTGTTTTATCTAAGACCTTTGTATCAGAGTATTCATCTTAATTTAAATCAGTTTTTCTCTGAAAGTTTTCTTTTGAACAACAATCTACTCTAGCACCTCACTGCTTGATAACAAATTTGTACATAAATTTGCGACTGGTTTAGAATTTACAAATACTATATATTTTTCAGGAAAAAAAAACTGGTGTTTTGAGTCTTGTAGTAACCGTTCTTGTAAGTGAATTGAAATTCTTCCTGCTAAGTATCAAATCTCACCGCGGTGAATGATTTTTTCAAAACTCCCCCTCTCCTTCCGCAAACTCTGTACATTGTAGAAGTGGAACAGTTTCTATAAGTGAGATATCTTCAATTCACAGCCAAATAAATTTTTAGTCTTCAAGAATTTATTAACAATTTTTTAGATGGAAAATCTGTTTATTGTCCTTACATCACATAGTTACATAATTAAAATTATAATAACAAAGATATACAAAAGAAGACATTTAATTCAAAAAAAAAAAAAAATATTTGTAAAAAAACTTTTTTTTTTTTTGTAATTTAGCACAATTATTAGTATCTCTTGAGTCTTTTTTTTGTTATCATCATTGGCTACTTTTTATTCTTTACCCCATGTATAGTTTTCAAGGTATTCTTGTTTGCTAAAACTTTATCCAATGTGTTTGACTCAGAGGTTCGGACCCAACAGGAGTTGAGTCAATCTACTTCTGTTTTCTATGAACCCATATAACCGTATTAGTGTATTGCAATTTGATCTGAAATCTCAACGACCTATGACTTTAGGTTTGATCAATAAAAAAAAAAAAGTAAGTGTAATATTTAAAATAATACAAAACAAATCTATGTTCAAATGCCTGTATTTTTTTTTTAATTTTTATTTCAAAAGAATTGAAAAACTATAATGCATGAAAAAAGTTATTTTTGTAATGGTTGATCATTAACTGTCTTCTTGGTCCTTCTTTCTCTATCCCATTCTTGGCCCTTTTTCAATTCAATGAAAACACAGCCCCAAGTACAAAACAGGATCCCTGCCATCAATGTAAAAGTACCACCGCAGCCTATAGAATTAATCATCTTGTCTACAACAGCAAGACCGACAGCACAAAGAAGACAGCGGACAACATTGAGGCCTGCACTTGCAGTGGAACCTTCGCCTGGAAAAAGGTCTAGTAGTAAGCACTGGCCAATGCCAATGTAGAAAATACTTCCAAATGAAATAAGTGCTGTACTGATAATCGGGACAACGTAGTGAACATGATATTGAATTGTCCAGCCAAAAATGATAGTGGATGCTATCACCAAGGTTGATGCATACTTTGCTGGCGACAATCGGGCCCGATGAATATTTAGCTCTTCCATGTTGACGGGTGTACCAGGGTACTTTTGCTGCCATTCCGCTTTATACTTGCCAGCATGCCTTTTATAAAAAAAAGTCATGATTCGACCAGACGCCAGAGATCCAGCAACGGATCCGACACCATTTGCAAGATATGACACACCAACATGCATGACGGAAAAGTTGTACTCTTCTTTAAGCAATGAAGACTGTGCGGTTATCACCATAAACCAGGCTGTATAATGAATTCCAATAGGTATCAAGATCAATGCTACATCTTTGTGACAGATAATTCTAAAGGTGGCAATAAGTGAGCCAGAAGCTGCTTCGGCTAAAAGCCCTTTTTCTTTGGCTTCTTCTCTGGTACTATAAGTTTTTTGCTTCATTGCAGGATTAGTCATGCCTCTTAAAACCATAATTGGCGATTGAGCAAAAAACCATCTAGGCTTTATACTGCCATTGCCGACCAAAAACCTACCAGTTTCGGGGAAAGTCACAAACAATAACAAAAGTGAAACGCCAGATGCTATTACTAAAAACCAGAAAATAGCCCGCCAGGTACCAAACGTTGATGTTAAAGCTCCACCGACAATAGGACCGATTGCACCTCCTACAAGAGTAAACCCAGAAAATATTCCTACGAAATTTCCACGATCCCGGCGAGTGGTTATGTCACCAACCACACCAGATCCTATGGCAACGGTAGCTGCCATACCAGCTGCTTGCATGGCTCGTAAAACCAAAAGAGATGCGTAAGATGGTGCGAGGGCTAAGCCAACACACGCACCAATATAAACAGTTGTGCAAAGAATATATACGACTCTTCTACCAAAGCGGTCTGCAATCGGGCTCCAAAAAGCTGGACCTAGACCCTGAAAAATTGTGTATGTCACAACAGTAAGATTAATTTGTTCGGTTGTGACATTGAAATCTTGTTCGATTTCGGGTAGAGCGGGGAGATAAATAGGAACAGAAATAGAAGAAAACATTGCTAGATATGAGGCAAAGCCCACAAGAAAATAACGTTCCCATTGATAGAACACTGTGTAAGGAGGACTTGGAATATCGTTTTCATCTTCTAAGACTGATGAAGCTTTTTCTGCCAAGCCCGTCTGAGGGTCAGTAGTTACTTCAAGCTCAAAACAATTTTCAGTGAATGAATCAGTTAATTGAGTATTTTTACCCATAATGAATCTCAAAAATCTTAAGCAAAAGTGTAAAGATGAACATGAAAATTAAATGTTGATATCAAAAAAAAATAAGAATTTTGAAAAAGAAGGAAAGCAAATAGATAAAAAAAAAAAAAGATAGAAACAAAAAAAAAAAAATTGTTCCCGAGGAAAAATATTAAAACCCCGGCTATGTTAAATTAAAATAACCGTTTGAACTTTTAAGGTTTTTTTGGTACCAATTAATAGTATATGTGGTCATAGTATTAAAAATTGACAAAATCATAAATAAGTTAGTCACACGTATATACAATACCTTACATTTGAGTTGTGGTATATACCCACCAAACATCCGGGACTGTATTGGGCATTGCAAGGCTAAGATAATCCGAAATAGACGAGGATAAGTTAAGGCCGAACTGACACTTGTGTTTTGAATTTTTATTTGTTAGTACAAAACTGATAGATGATTAATAACAAAAAGAAAAAAAAAACCCTCTATTAAATTCAAAAACATTCGTTTCAATGAGAAAAACATTTTAATAAAACTTCAAGATAGCGCTGTCAGCACTCTGGTGATTTAGACATTTTATGGCGCCAAACTGTTTGTAAAATATTACATGTGCTGAGGCAGATTTGGGATACATAACACTTCGTAGATCCATACCAGAGGTTGAAACATAGCAAAACTTTAACTAGATGCTTTAGTTAAGCAAACCATCAGCAAAGAAGTTGCGGAAATGAGTTCAAGAAACTTGACTACCGCTCCAAGACCCTTATTGGTATCGAGTAGAACTTTTAGATCAAGCTCTAGAGAAACTTTACTCAAGAAGCTACGCTCCATAGGATGCAGGGGGGACTCTTTAAAAACGTGTTCAACTGTTTCCATCTGTCCACACTCGCAGTTATAATCTCTCTCAATGATACGCCTCATTTAAAAATACTTTTCATGAACATCATGACTTGTATACAACTGGAATAACTTGCTGAAGGTATGGCGAGACACAGTCTTCATGAATTATTTCAGTGGGTTTGCGGGTGCTTACTGCCATACAACTCTCGTTGAGTACAAGAGTAGTATTTTCAAAGTTCGCCTAACTTGTCATAGTCTTTTTGCCACTTAACCCGTAATGTACAGCGCATAGTTTTTTTCAGCTTCTGCAACGCCGTACAAGCTGTTTTTGCCTAGATCATACTTGGAATGTTTCCAAGATGGTCTCTTACTCCAGTACTTGTCATTATTAATGCCTTCCATTTGTTTGATTCTCACAAATAGTTCATCGAGATCGCCTTCGGGTAGCTTACTACAAGTAGCAAATTTTCTGACATGGATTTCCGGGCTGACAACTCGGATGGCTCTGACAGCGAACTGGTCACAGATTTTATGCATTCTTATATTCACAGATAATATATTGGCATCACGCTGCATCGTCTCGACAAGCGCACATTTTTTGTTAATATATATATTTCCTTCTGATCGAGGTCAATTGCAAAACTACCCTCATCTTTGTATCCACAGAGTTAGGTTGACCAAGGAGAGATACTTATTAATAGACCGAGTGAGGCTTGATAGCCTAAATACCATTTTATGAATCTGCCAAAATATGACTCTGTTTTTCTTTGAAAAGTTGAATGCTTTTAACGTCGTCAAAAAAGATCAAAACGTGTTTTCTGTTTCTATTTTTTCATTATTTATCTCATAGAATCGATCAGATAAATATCACTGATTTTAGAAAAATAAAAGCTGGTTGTATAGTGTAGTGGTGATCACATCGGATTCTGATATGCAAGTTAAGCTTTCCGGGAACCCCGGTTCGATCCCGGGTACGACCTTATCACTTTTTTTTGACATTCTACATAGTATATATAGACTTTTTAGGTTAGTAACTCAAGTACCTTATAAATTATATAATTACGAGGCTTTCTCCAAGGTAGTTCCAGGAAAAAAAAAAATCAAAAAAGATTTATTACTCACTAGTGTTCTTGCAGTGTCATTGAGGTGATTCGACCCAACCCTTGGGTTTTACATATTTTTTGAAAATGAATGTAACACATCATATCAACTAGTTTTCCGCTAATAAAATATACAATGTATAAAAGTAATTGATTCATTATTTCTCTTTACACTATTTTTTTTTTTTTACAGTATATTGGCAAATAAATCAGTGTACGGAAAGCCTGGTTTTATAAAAGATTAAAACTAGCATTGCTTGATAAAAAAACAAAAAAAAAGGTCTCTGCTTTTAAACGTTTTTAAATAAAATGTTTTTTTTTTTTTTTAGTAAATAAATGGTTTCTGGTTTCTTTGTAGTGAGAGAACATATATTTCTTCGATGAGCTTTATTTCATTTTATTTTTATTTTTATTTTTTTTTCAAAAAATTGTCTTTGTAGAAAGATTAAAAAAAAAAAATAAAAACATGTCTCTTTGTTTATATTTTTTTTGTTTCCCTTTTTTTTTTTCAAAGGTCTAATCCTTTTCTGCAATAAAAACCAGGATTTAAAAAACATATCTATTATCATAATGTTTTAGAGGTATGAGATCTTGTTTAACTTGAATCATTTTCTTATTTTAGTTGATAGTCCCCTTTTATTTTAAACCTAGCACGGCTTGTATTTTTAATAAAAAAAAAAAAACAATCAAATTATTAACAGAAATATATCTATGAAAAAAAATAAAATAAAAATAGCTCATGCTGTAAAGCGCTCACTAGTGGTGATTGATTTTGATCAATTGGCAAAAATAATAAAATAAACAGATCTTTCAGGTAATTTTTTTATTTATTTTTTTTATTTTAAAGAGGTTTTTGTCCCTGGAGTATACGTATTGTAGCTTACAAATAATGCACAAGCAGCGCTGTAGCAGCTGTAGAACGTTAGATACGGACTTTTGAAAACAGAAGAGAGAGACAACAAAATATTTTTTTACTATTAAGGTCATATTATTGTATTCATCTTATAGGCAAATTAAAACAAAAGAAGGACGTTCACAAGTTTTGGTGTAATTGTCAAGTCATAAGTCTTATCTTCTTGTTTTTGTCGTCATTTTGCAGATACAGCAAAAACCGAATTTAATAAAATTAAAACAAATAAAAAAAAAAAAAGAGGCGGGGTCAGGCGTCAAAGAACATTCAATAAGCGGTATCTATGAGTTGGGCGCTTTGTGTTTAAACTTTATATTCTCTCATGTATATCATGACCATCACGACAACGCTAAGTATTTACAATGGCTTGAAAAACCAAAAAAACCAAAAAAAAAAATCTTAAAAACAAATTATTACTTGAAACAAATATATATTAAATTAAGGAAAAAAAGAGTGATAACGCGGAAATTAAAACACAAGTTTACTGGCTAAGCAGCCTTGACCTCAGTGTCGGCATGAGCAAGCTCGGCAGTATCTGGCTCGTTTTCATGCTCGACTTCTTCATCGTGACCTTCCCAGCCACCATCCTCCTCTTCTTCATCGTACTCAGACTCTTGAATATGACGAATAGAAAGAGTAGGTTTGACAACAGCCTGGTCAAGAGTCCAGCTAGCAAGAGCATTCTCGCAGTCAATGATAATTTGTTTAGAAGCTTCATATCCATCGTAAGAAGGTCTGGTCTCACCGGGGGTGACAGGAGTGTCATCAAGAAGCTCTAACAGAGACTTTCCGTAACCAGCAATAAGAGCTAGTTTCTCAGAGTGCTCACGGATAGCATCAAATTGATAGTTAAAAGCAGCCTTGATCTTGTCGCGGGTGATATTAGATAATTGAGCCTCAGCAACAAGTGATTCTGCCTCTGCGCGAACTAACTCCTGTTCAAGAACAATAATTTTGTCAGAATTGGGATCTTTGTACTTGAGCTGAGCAATTTGGTCTGTAATCTTCTGCTTGCGATCGCGGGATGGTTGGACAGACGCTTCAATGTTTCTAACAGACTTGAGAGTGATACGGTACTGGTCGTATTTATCAATGAATTGATCTTCAAGTTCACCAATCTCGTAAATAAGAACACCAAGTTTATCAGTGACGTCAGAAACATCGTCATCACCGTCCTCACCCCAAGAAGATAGTTGTTTAGCAACCTCTCTTCTTTCTCTAGAAACCAATTCAATGTCGCGCATAACGTTTTTCTCCATCTTTACAAGAACAGCTAGCTTTTTGGCAAGGTCAGGGCCTAAACTGCCAGCAGCAGTGCGTCTGAAGGTGTGGCCTGACAAGTTTTGTTAGTACAATCATCAATAAAATAATTCAAACTTGAATTGATTAAAAAAAAAAAAGAAACCAAAATGATTCTCTTCCCCTCATTATAATTTTTTTTTTCCCAGTGACTTACCTAGTGAACCCTTGCCAAAGAATCTGCCAGACTTTGTGCTTGACGGAGGAGGCGGAGGAGACTGGAGCTGGGCAGCAGTAGGTGCCCTACTTTGACGTAAAGAGTAAGTTCTGTGCATGTTTTTAAAATGTTTGTCAATTGAAAGTAAATAAGCAATTAAATAAATATGACGAGAAAAAACAAAGCTTTTTTTGAATAAAAGAAAAAAGTAAAAAAAGAAAAAATAACCAGAGGAAATGGACGTGTTTTTATATTATTACTCAATAGACAACAACAATAATCATGAGCACTTGAGTTTGGAACAAAAAAAACAAAAAAAGTCAGCGTTAGGCACCTAACTTTGGGGTACGGGTTCTATCAGATATTTTGCAATCATATAATGATGCGTATGCCGTCAATTGCGCCCACAGTCTTTTGTTCGGACAGGCAAATCTGTTGTCAATAATTTAAGATGTGAACTATTGACGTCATATAGTGGTAAACCTTCTTTGAAACTTTATTCTTCCTGTCGAATCTAGCAACTCATTATGGATGGAGCCTATTGGGTACCAAGCCGCCATAATAAACTTGACTTTATCCTACCTTTTCACATCGTCAAACAAGAAAAAACAAAACAAAAAAGAAAAAAATGATTCAATTAATTTCAAAAAAAAAAAAAAAAAAAACGACTGATTGGTGTTTTAAAGTTTTGCATTTCAGTTTGCTGGACGTTTTGTAAGGACTATGATTTTTTGTGACAGGTTTAAATACGTCTTTGGCTTGAATACAATAATTGGTGAAGATGACAGTCTCAGAACACGATATCAGAATCTTGCTTGAAAAAAAAAAATAAACAGTTGATTTATTGATCATCAGCTGCTATTATTCTGTCATGGCAAAACAGGGTGTGTATATGCAGATATGTGCACGGCGTTAGTTTTTGAAAAAAAAAAATGTTAGCTTTGAAGCTCAAAGAAAAAAAAACACCACCTATAGTTCACCTAAACTGTATTGAAAAAAATTTACTTGAGTTTTAAATAAAAGCATGAAGAGTGTTTTCTTTAATTATTGGTTACTACATCCAAAGGCAAAAGTGACGATAAGGGCTTTCCTGAGTCTCTAGGTCTGTGAATCTTGGAGTTGATGAATTTTATCAATTCAAAGATTCTGTTTTGCATTTCCAAGACGAGAGTTACAAAACTGGTATTAGTTGCTCTAAAAATTATGAATCTTGCTGTCAACTGATAATCACCATGCAAACAGTAAAACTTTACATCTGAAAAAAATAATGTCATTTGAAAACAAATAAAAAAGACCCAGTCACACTAATAAATTATTGAAATATTCATCATGCAGGAAATTTGTTTTTGGGCACGAAGCATGTAAAAAATTATCCAAGATCTGAAAATAATACATACTTTTCTGTTAATAAGCAACTGTTGCTATCATGAAATAGGCCTTATTTGGAGTGAGAATGAAGGAATCTCACGGTTGGAAGTTTTTTTCGAAAAGTTTCAGACAATATACGTATATGATAGCCGTAATATCTTGCTTTGGTCCACCGCATTGTAGAGAATGTATTGTGAAAAACATGATAACGTTATTGAAAAATGTTGAAAAGTTTTTATATATCATCATAAGAATGGTTTGTATGATATTTTGTTAAGATACTCTTTTTTTTGATATGACTAAAGTATCTTACTGACGTTTATTTCATCTTATTTTTTTCTTTTTTCTATTTTTTTTAATTGTATGCTAAATAGGTATGAATTCCACCTAGCATGATTATAAAGATTGAAATCAATTAAACAAATAGTATGAAATAAATAGTCAGCTAAAATTAAAAAAAAAAAACCCCCCTTTGAATATCAAAATCAATTTTAAGAAATATCAAGGCTTATTTCAAACTTTTGTTATACTTTTAACAAGCTATTTAGTGAGATAGTTTTTTTTTTTTTTTGTTTAAAGTTCAAAGTTTGGACTCTTTTTTGTTTATTTTAGTCTGATGCTCAAAGCAGCCATTTTCTTTCCAAATTTATATTGACAAGTTGATAGTACGTTACTTTGTTCGTATCAGGATAAAAGTATATACAAAACTATACAGTCAGCAGTATTACGAATACTCAAATTTGCGAATTTCGGATCAACCATAGCTGTGCACCAGACACTTATTTCTACACCTGACATAACTACGACACTTTTTTTTTTTTTTGGCAAATTGCAATCTCTTTAGTTGCAAGACACGTCAACCGTTCAATGCTCATTTTTTTTCCAAGGTTTGCTGACACGTGAGGTGATGAACCAATTACATGTTGACCATTTTGTTTTATTTTCCTGTGAACTAGGCAGCACCCAAAACTGATATGTGAAAAAAAAAAAAAAACGATTGATATGGCTACACATACCCTCAACTATGTTTGAAGTAAATTATACATGTACAAAATACTATGGTAATATTTAAGTGAAAAACAAATACTATCAAAGAAAAACTATACGTATTATCAAGTTCAGTTTATAAATTAATCACTTGTAAAA